CGATCCCAATACGAAGTTCGCGAACATCAGGGATATCCATCGGGCTCAAATCGAAGCGGGTGAAAAGGAGGTTATCACGGCTGAATCCAGCGACTCTGAATGCCCTAGTGAGGCTGGCAGCTGTATTGTAGTGGGTGTGGTTGAGGATCAATAGTTAATAGTAATGAGGAGGTTGGGTTGTGATCCCATCGTTTTTGTGGTGCCAGAAACAGGGGGGTGCCAGGAAGTGGGTATGTTGACTTATAAGAGGTTTGATTAAGGTGGAGTGAAGTTTGCTGTAAGTTGCATGAAGGCTTTCTTGTCCCAACTTACGGGAGAATGCTTTCTATTTATGACGATTCTATTAGTCTTGTGTCAATCCGAAATTGATATTGCCACCTACAATGTTATGAAGGAGGATCATCGTGAGCTTGCACAGCCATCTAGCAAGTTGGGATCTGCGCCCTGGACTGGTGAGCTAATCGCTCAAAAGGTCGTGATGATATATTGGCGCTATGAGTAGCCTTAGAGGAAAGATATGCTTTGATGCTTTCGAAATACCTCGACAAGCATCATATTCAAGTTATGTGTAGAAGTGCATTTTTACGCGTAATTTTGTTACTAGCTCACAACTAGCTCTTACTGCCACGTGTATTTAGGCTACATAGGCTTGAGGCTTTGTGCAGATCAAGAGAACTGAAGACTATTAAAGCTTACGTGCATCATCTAGTCTGCGGACTAACGTGTAGTTTACTCATCGTAGGCTCTTTCTACGACTATGATGCCAAGCTAGCTTTTCTTGAAGCCTGTAGTACTACAGGGTCTAGACGCAATCCTTCAGGATCCAAGAACGCCCCACGCCAAGCCTGCGAATTTACGCGTATTTCTAGAAGAGCACTTCACGAACCATTGCCAACGTCCGAAACACATAGAGAGAAAGAAATATTTCCTGATATCGAATATCGATAGAATGAGCTTCGGAATGTCTTCATATATAGAAAATTACCAACGTGCCCGCGTTATATGTAGAACTCGGCACTAGGCTATGGTGAGGCTTAACGAAATACGCGTATTTTTGTACACTCAATCCATCGTATTGGAGAGACGTTCAGCAGAAGTAGTCAAGTCAAGACTGCTCCCCCAGTCTCGGAACTAAAACCTCTTTAGAAAAAAAAAGAGGCAACAAGAATAGGATTAATGGAGCTGTTGCGGAGGATCCAGTAGCTGCGTCGACATAAGCGGCCGAACAAATTGCCGACATCATCCATTTATGATTTGTGACCTCATAAAAAGTACAAAGTCCTCACATGGATGGACTTTATTCGCCTTAGTCCTCCCTACGCGTCTCAAAAACGTCCCCGATCCTCATAATCTTCAGCCTTTCCCAGTCCAGAAATTGCGCATTATCCTTCCGCAACCTCTCCTCGACCTCCCCAGAGTTGGTCACATCGAAAAACGCTTGCGCCGCCTCCTCGTTCTTGAACCCAATTTCTACCACTGCGTCAGGCTCCTCTCCGGTGCTTTTCCCGATGAGGACAGTTGGCTCGTCCTTTGGCGATCGTTCAATGTACCGTCTCGAGTGCAGGGAGGGGAAACGGGAGCCGGTGAGTTCTCGGGTGAGGGGTATGTGTATGTACTCGTAGTGATCTCTGAACTCAGCGTGTGTAATATCCTTTTTGCGGTAGAGAAAGAGGACCAGGCGATAATCCATTTTTTCGATGGTGGTAGAAGAACAAATGGGCTGGGTGTGACGATCTCTAGGATTGATGTACCATGGGAATTGTATCCTATGCGACGTTGAGGTCTAAGGAAGATGTTGTTCAGTCAAAGGCTAGTTAGGCGGGACGAGAGGTCACTTGAGGACAGCGCTGAAGTTTAAAATAACGTCGATGTCACACAGTACACTCAAGGGTCCAGCTTGTTCTCGGTCCGAACACTGTCAGGTCCGAAGAACCACCAGGGCCTGTCGACACGTAGCTGAGAAGAGAATTTTCAACATCCAGGACCACAACTTTTTGGACAATAATTCAGATTCTCCTTACTCATTTGTCTTTCCAAAAGCTTGATTCTATCTGACGCCTCATCCAGCCGGCAAATATATACACCGTGGTCACTGCTTTGCCACGAGTCGCTCAAGGAATAAGCTTTCCAGGCATGCCGTGATCCGAGTCAGTGGCCGACACACATTCTCGACATTGTAGTTTTGCTATCAAACATATCCACATCGTATGAAAAAGACTGTATCGTAGTTACTATCGAGTTTGAAGTATTATATGACATATGAGGTCATTGGACGCTTAATTTATACAATTGGTCAACAAGGACCTGGTACCGTAACTCCGAACCTGGTAATATGCAACGCCCTCATTAATCTTCCAAGCCAGATCTATACCAACGCCATTACTTTAAAGACAAGCCACAAAGATTTAGTTACGGTTGTTGACAGGAGGAACCTCAACGGAGGCGGGGTCGCCCTTCTCGATATCCTCGGCAACCTTCTTAGCAGAACCCTTGTTGCCGACGCTGTTGAGCCACTTGTCGAGCTTGTACTGATCGACGGCGCGGAAGCCGTTCACAGCAGGGGGCAGGACCTTGGTGCACTCGGTGAGCTGGTTGATATTGTTGACTCCCAGAAGAGAGAGGCGGATGTATTCACGAGCGTAGTCCTATCAGGCAAGCCATGTTAATACCCTACTTCTAGCGCACAAGTCACAGGGGGAGATCATCGTACCTCGTTCCAGTGGTGCTGTCCGCCGGGGCCAGCAAACTCCTTGAACTCCTTGGCCGTCTCGGGGTGCTGGGAGATGGCAATGTCGCTGGGGAACTTGAACACGCGAGGCGGCGAGTTGGAGCTGAGCGTCTCCTTGTAGTAGAGCACGTCCCAGACGCCGGGTGTGCTGTCCTGGGGGTCACCAGCGCGGGTGGTGTTGACAAAGTTCTGCTGACTGGTGGTGTGCGCGCCGAGCAGGGCGACGAGACCGTGCGGGCCGATGGTCTTGTCGCGGAAGAGCTGGTCGGCCGGCTGGAAGGGGCTCGGGAGAAGGCCGTCGGGGGAGCCGTTGGCGCTGTCCTTGCGGCCGACGTAGGACTTGATGCGCGGGCCGAGAGGGCAGACTACTGTTGCGACATTTGCACCCATCTATTTGTATGCTTGGTTAGCAATGATCTGCTTCACAGTAAGGAAGTATGTTGTTGATCAGTGTCTGGGAACGTACCTGGATGAAGTCGCCCATGCCAATGTCCCAGCCCATGCCCTTATACTTGCCGTATAACTCCTTGAACTTGACAGCAACATCCTGCAGACCGCGGTTCTCGAAGCGGTCAATCTCTCCAGGGGCAAGAAGGATACTGCCATCAGCGCCCCCACCCTGTGACGCCGTAGCCTTGGACCACGTTCCGGCGTCGTGGAAGCCGAGGCGGACGGCGGCGCGGGCCAGACCCGTGCAGCGGCCCGACTTGCCGGCCATGAACTGGTACATGTCGTCGGCTACGTAGCGCCAGACGCAGCAGGTATCCTTTTTGCACTTGTCCGAAGTCAGGTCGGGGACCTTGCTGTATCTGTCGTTGGACTCTGGGTCGCCTTTGCCCTGAAGCATCCTCTTGATGTCCTTGCCGACGGGGGTGAGGTCCTTGTCTTTGAGGGTGACGAGGTCACCGAGGAGCTCGTTGGAGTCGCCGGCGTCGCTTTTGCGGGCCATGATTTCGGCCATTTGCTCGCCCATGCCTGGGTAGCCCATGGTCCCTGGGAGAGACACTAGGGCTAGGGAGGTGGCGAGGACGGATGTGAGATGCATGATGATGATGATGAAAGTTTCTTGGATATCGACGGAAGCGAATGTGCTGAATTAGAGAATGGAATTGAAGTTGAAATAGCGAATGACAATGACACTAACGGTCGTTGGAAAGAAGGGAAAGGGATAGAGAGGAAATGACTTGATGGAGAGGAGATGATGCTGGAGATGGAAGCCGGACATCATGGCCTTATATCATCTTCGTTCGTTTCTTGGCAAGGAGCCATTCATCATAGCATGGTCTGCCAGAACTAGGCTTGTCCAGCTTTCTTCCATGAGGCTCCCGGACGTTTACTCTCTCCAAAAGAGGGCTCGCCTTCTTAGCGTGCATGGCTCCTTCGGGACAAGCCCTCTGGTGTGAGAGTCTAAACAGATACCGACAACCTCTAGTCAGATCTCACGACACGAGTAGCTCGATGCCTCGGATCCCGGGTACCTGTCGTCAACTCTCCAGACGCCTGCGCTGCTGTGCCAGCTTGGTCCTGTAGCGTGTGATACTCAGCCCTTTGGGAGGAGGATCGAGGGACCAGAAAAGCATGCCACCCCGGACTTGAAGACGGGACAACGAAGGAACAAGAAACGCGATGCCTAGCATTTCTTAGGCCTAGCCTTGGGCCTCGGACGGCCCATCAGTGATCACCACCGCACCGTCCGCCACCGGCATCAGCAGATATTCCTCGATAATCATTCGCCGAAAAGGTGGTCGGTCTGACGGCACAGGGGAGGGAACCAGAGGACTGGAATAAGGACACCCACCCATGCACCGGAGCTGTAATGCACGCTAAGCCGGCTCTAACAATAGACTCACATACATGTGGCATATGGAAAAAGCATCTACAAGTACAGATGCGGTGCGCCCCACCCCGAGGTGTAAGTCCGTGGTCCCCGCGTCCACCGGCCGTGTCACGGTGCGCAGACTCGCCGGTGACAGGGGGCGTTGACCTCTCGTATCGCATGGCACTAGACACAATGGGAAACGCCATGCCAAGAACGGTGTGGGATTGGATGGTGAGCGTTTAAGCTTCTTGTGTTGGTACACGGCGCCAAAACAGAAAGACGGAGCTAGATCGCCAGGGCAAAAGGGGCCTTTCCTTGTACTGTGTACTCTGGAAGAGCTAAGAGAAGGAAGAACAAGCTTGAAGAGAAAGAAGGTTGTTCGTGAAAGCCGTCAGACCATGGCAGAAACAAGCTAGGCACTACAGTAACAGACAGACCCGAGAGGCCGTTGCCTAGGCTGCGATGGGCGGTGCGTCGCGACTCGCGTGGCGCCGTCCGCTGAGCCAAGATCAACAGCTTGCTGGACTTGATTTCCCAAGGCCGCTCGGTGTTGTCGTCTCGCTCTCACCCATTCATTGCTTCTCCTTTCCCGCTTGACGCTATTGAGCGCCGCAAATGCGCTGGCAGGTCGGTCTGCGGTTCTTCGATCCTTACCTTTACCTTTCTCCTGATTGGGGCGAGGTCCCTGAAGAGGCGATATCCGATGTTGGTCGGTGAACCGACCGCTCGGATGAAAATGTCAGTTCTGCACATATACGAGCATCTGCAAGTCGCCCATCGTCATATGCTCAATACCCCTCTCTCCCTCCCCCACTGGCTGGGTGAGAGGGATTGAGCACTGAGCAGAATGAGGCACCTGAGAGTCTGTGTTTCTTCCCTTCTCGTCAGTCGCCCGAGTTGTTGGCCTGGTGCTACCGCGCCACGAGGGAATCGATGCCTCCCATCCATCAAATCCAGCACAGAAGCTTCCAGAGCACGGTGCCTCATGCCTGTTCAACCACTGCTGCGGCCCTGCGAAGGATCAAGCACGATTTCGGACGAGCCTTCATGCCCCCCCCCCCCCCCCCCCCCCCTCCCCCCCCCCTCCCCCCCCCCCCCCGCTCCGCACCCGCCCCCCCCCCCTTCTACCCCCCCCGCGGGCCCCCGCGAAAACCCACCACAGGCCCCCTCCACCCCCCCCCCCCCCCCCCTCCCTTCCATCATATCGCGAGCCTTGTCGATGCAGGTACCGCTGCTGGCTTGAGTTCAGCTTGTTTGACTGGCGTTCGTTTCTATGCCGACCCGGTCTCGAGTTTGTTTTCACTTCAATCCAACCAGGTACGAGAGAGCTGTGTTCGTCTCTGAAGGATTCGTTTACGAGGGAACTCTCAAACGCAGTAGCGATGAAATTCAGCATTCATGCGAACCATGGGATTCTGAGTTGTTCGGATGAATGAAGTCTGGCCATGTTCATCAGAAGACATGAGAGGAGGGGAAAGAAAGGAAGTTTTGGTCAACTGGAAGAATGTGTCCCAATCGGGCCTGACCTATTTTCAGCTGTGGCGCACGGCAGTCCAGCCGCACCGTTTCCTGCTGACTTTGCCTTCATCTCATTACATAAGGTAAGCAAAAGGTCACTCACTCATCTTGAGTCGCCGCCCTCATCTGGACTCATTCGCTCACAACTTCTCTCCCATCTTCAGCCCACTGAGTGAGATAAGCTTACTTTTTTGACCCCAAGAATTAATCCTGCAGAGTGCTGCATATGCTGAGATGCGCTGGGAACCTAGCTATTGGGACGCATTGGCTTGGCTGCAGACGCAGCATCTCGAGCTGCGTCGCCGGACCATGAAGACTAACTAAGCCCCCCTTTTCTCACTGCCAAGCCCGCTACTATTGATCTTGCTAACTCGTTAGAGAGAATGGATGAGTTCAGCTGTCTACAAGTCTCATGACAGACAGTTGACACTTGGGAGATCAGAGGCAAAATCTTTTACTGGAATGGCGACTGGAAAGTTTTGGGATACATTAGACTTCTAGACTTGGAGACTTTCTTTGGGGTCGCATTCATCGGCATCTGGAGAATGAAGCAAAAACACACCTCAACCCCGGCGTCGATCACGGGCAGGTTACATCCTTCTTTCACCCAACCCATGAAGCTAGGCTGCATTTGGTCAATGCAAAGTAGGTGAGTTACAGGTGGCGGTCAGCATCGGTGTCAGGGGCCAAGCAGGCCGGGCCATAAATGCAATATTGGGTTGGGAGCTTTCAGGTCAGGTCGGGTCAGGAAATATTCGTATTATCCCATTCGTACCGTTATTGACACATAGAAGAAGAAGAGCTGCTCAGTCTAGCCCAAGTACAAACAAGGGGAGGCGGCCAATGAGTTGGACCCCCCATGCCAAAAACAAAATTCATTACCAACCAAAAACTTTTCCTTTTTTTGCGGTTCGATGACAATCCGGGAATCTTCAGCTTCTTCACTCCTCATCGTCCTCCTCAACAGCAGCCCCCTTCTTGGCCTTCGCCGCGGCAACCCACTCCTGCGCCTTGGCCATCACCTTGTCCCGGCCCTTGGGGCTGATCTTCTCCTCCCAGTCGGCCCACCTCTTGAACCACTTCATCGCCTTCTTGGGCTTCAGGCCCTTGGCCTTGGTACCCCTCTCAAACACATCCCGGATCGCCGTGGCGTCCGGCTCCGCGGCCGCGATCTCGAGGTCCGCCAGCTGGTTCCACAGGTCGAACCGCTTCGGCCACGTCGCCAGGATTGTCTCGAACGTTGTGCGGCCGCGCTCCGCGTCGCCGTTAGGCGACTTGAACTCGAGGGCGCCAAAAGAGGCCATCAGCTGCGCTGTGTGACGCTCCTCGAGGGCTTGAGTCGCGCGGGGCAGGAGGGCACGCGCGCGGTCGGGCTCGTTCATCGTCACGTGGAGGAAGTGGGCGTAGTTCTCCCACACCTTTGGTGACTTCGACTTGAACTTGGCGACCAGTGATTGGAAGACATCATCCGCTTGCTGTATGGATGTGTTAGTAACGTTTGACTTGAATGGGCTATTGGCACTGCTTACCTTGAGCTTTCCGGACTGAATGTAGATGCTGGCCAAACGCTCGTGAACCTCCTGCTCGTCGTTGTACTGGCAGGCGCGCTTGAAGACCTCCTCGGTGGAAGCCTTGGTGCCGTAAGCAACCTCCAAGTTGAGGTAGGCGATCCAGACGTTGAGCTTCTCAGTCTGCTCCCGGATGTTGATCGTTTTGATGGCACGTTCAGCAGTCTCGCGAGCCTTCGACAGCTCGCTGACCTTCATCTGCAGAGCCATATACTCGATCCACAGCTGGGATGAGTCGGGCTGACCCAGCAGGAGACGCTCGTAGTCGGTGGCGGTTTGCGGTCCGTGGGCATCAAGATCGGCTGTACGATCAATCTGGATTTCGCCACCCTTCTTCTTCTCCTTCTTTTCCGTCGTCTTTGACTTCTTTGATTTGGCCTTTGGCTCGTTTTCTGAGTCGTCAAACGCGTCGCCAGTCCAGTCGTACTTGCCAGAGCTGAGACCCTTGCTAGCCGTTGCGTCTTCGTCCATATCCACGTCGCTGTCCTCATCCTCCTCTTCGTCGCCGTCTTCGTACTCTTCGTCTTCCTCATCGGACTCCTCAGAGTTGTCGGTACCGCGGATGGCAAGTTGAGCGCCGCCATCTCCCATCTCAACGTCAGAGTCCTCATCGCTCTCGAGATCAGCACCTCCGTCGACGTCCTCCATGTCGCTGTCCTCGTCGAAATAGCTAGGCTTCAAACCGAATGTGATGCGTCTCTTCTCCTCATCTATTGAGAGAATCTTGGCCTTTACCACATCGCCCTCGTTGTAAAGCTTGCGGGCATCCTCAACGGGCTTCTCAGCCATCTGACTGCGATGGCATAGGCCGCTGACGTTGAGAGAGTTATCCACCACGATGAACGCACCAAACTCCTCGACCTTGCGAACCTTTCCGGTGACGACCTGGCCTTCCTTGACGTCCTTGTACGTCACCGGGGGCGTGTAGTCGTTCTCAACCACAGAGGCCTTGAGACTAAGCTCGACTTGGCTGGTAGCGGCGTCGACGTTGATCACTCGGCCCTTCACCAGTTGATCAACTTGGAAGTTGCCCTTCCAGTCTTTGATGTAACGATCAGACAAGTTGCCGATCTTGACCAAAGCAGAGACGGTACCTCCAAGTTGCACAAAGACACCCTTGTCAGTCACGTTTTTCACAAA